GCCCTGACAAATTTTCTGTTGAATGTAACGAAACGCATAGTTTGCAGTGTATAGATAATTACGTGTTAACAGGTTCACTTTGTGCGCCTCACAAAATTGAAAATTGTGAATTAGTGATAAACAACAAATGTATGACGTGTGGGAATAACAAATATCAAAACAATTTGATGAGTTGTTTTTCTTGTGATTCTTCGTGTACTTATTGTCAATACGACAACACTTTAGATTTTGGGAAATGTACCATATGCAACAACTCATATGTAGTTACCAATTCTGAGAGCTGTAAAGCCAAAGATCAAAATACAGTAACAGTGGACACTGTCAAAGTCGTGTCGTGTGTAGATGGGTACTACCCGAACGATCAGTCTTGTTTGTTGTGTAACTCATTATTTGAAGGGTGTGAATTGTGTACGCAGAATATGTGTATGAAATGTGAAGAAAACTATATTAAAGAAAATGGGAAGTGCAGACAAATCACTGGGTGTTCACAATTATCGGACAATATCTGCACAAAATGCACAATGGAAACCATGTACAACAACAAGACTGATTGTTTAGATAAGCACAAAAGTGATTGTGTAGCGTATGACTATACAGGAAACTGTTTAAAGTGTTCTTCACTCAATTTGATTGAAGGTGTATGTGGTAACACGGACAGTCGTTGTAGTGCAAATTCGGTGATTGGTTGTTTGTCATGTATTTCGCCTTATTTCTCACGGGAAGCAAAATGCGAGAGTTGTAACACCAAATGTTCTTCTTGTGTGACTGCAGAGTCAAATTGTTTGTCATGTGTGTCGAACACATCTTTTGTATCAAGTAGTACCCATGAGTGTGAGACGAATGATGTACTCAAAGAGAAGTGTCTTCAATATTCAGCGACGGGTGGGTGTGTTCAATGCAAAGATGGATATTACAGAAATGGGTTTGACTGTGTAGAATGTGAGAAAACGTGTTCGATATGTACCTCATATGAGCAGTGCACTGAATGCAAAATTGGGTATTACTTTGATATGAATGACATTTGTACTCCAAATGAAATCAACACGAATTGTGCGGTTGATATTGATATCTATTTTGGGTGTAGTTTGTGTGACGACGGGTACTTTGTGAATAACAAAATTTGTAATTTGTGTGACGAGAAGTGCAAGACGTGCAGTGACAACACAACTTGTGATTCCTGTAAAAACGATTACATTTTCACAATGAAAAGTTGTGTGCATTTCACTAAAGTGATCAATTGCATTGCCGTTGAAAGTGCAAAATGTGCGAAGTGTTCTGGATGGAACAAACCTAATGAACTTGGAACGCAGTGTATTTCATATACCCCTGGGGGGTTTGTAGCGGGGATGTTCTTTTTAGTGTTATTCATTCTTGTGCTAATTGTGATAACAACATTTTTTGTGACAAAGTACATCTTAAAAGTGTTAAAGCGGCGCGACGTCGAGAAGCAATTTGACACCTTTTCGATTAAGAAGTCGGACGTGTCGTTTTTGTCGTTTGGGACAATTCTGATGGATCGCAATGCATTAGCTTTTGCACAAGAAGACTCGTGTGAGATTCCAGTCGACAAAATATCAACACAAGATTTGATAATAGGAAACATGGGAAGGAATACCGTCAAAGTTTCCTTTTCTCTCAAAAGTGGGGAAGTCATGAAATACACGGTTGAGACAAATCCGTCGAGTTTTGTTCTACGGAATGGGAAAGCTTGTAAGTTCAGCATTACTATTAAACCGAACTGTTCTTGTACAATTGATAATGAAATGATAGTCAACATCGATGACCTTAAAACAAATAAGAGCTACACAATCAACTTGAAAATAGAAGCGTGTACAGAGCAGAGTACACATTTAGACTACGACGAAATTGAATTTGGTGATAAATTGGGAGAAGGAGGGTTTGGTATAGTTTACAAAGGAATTTACCGGACAAAAACAGTTGCAATCAAATTGCTGAGTGGCGTCTCAGATGATGAAAAAATGAATGAATTTGATAATGAAGTGAAAATGCTTGACAAATTTCGAAGCGAATATATTGTTCATTTCTTCGGTGCTGTGTTCATCCCAACCAAGATCTGTATGGTCACAGAATTGGCACCATTTGGGTCTTTAAATGATTTCAAAAGAAAACACAAAAAGGGGGCTCCGAGTAATCAATTGAAGACTAAAATACTGTTAGACTGCGCTAAGGGAATTCAATACCTCCACCAAAACGGCATTTTACATCGAGACATCAAGCCAGACAATTTCCTTCTATTTTCAATTGAAGAAAGCGAGGTCGTCAATGCAAAATTGACTGATTTTGGATCGTCAAGAAATATTAATATGATGATGACTAACATGACCTTCACTAAAGGAATTGGAACGCCCATTTTCATGGCTCCCGAAATTTTGAACGGAGGCAAAAAGTATAAAATGCCTGCTGACGTCTTCTCGTTTGCTATCACTATGTATGACATCTTTAATTGGGGTGGGCTATACCCTGTTGCGGAGTTCCCATACCCTTGGTCCGTCGCCGAATTTGTTGGGAAAGGGAAGAGACTATGTCAAACGAAAAAAATGGAAGGATGGATGTATCAAATCATTCAGGGGTGTTGGGACGATGATCCTACAAAAAGAATGAGTTTGTTTTTATTATGTGGACGTAGTCGTAATATTCAAAAACACTGACTTTCAGCGATCGACCAAACAGTCAATCTTCTCTCCACTAATTACACAAGCTGGTTCACAAACAAATAAAATTAATAATATAACAGAGGCATTTATATTATATGAATATAGTACTTTAATTCAATTTATTTTAATCAAATGATATAAATATAATATATATAATTAAAAGAGAAACATTTCTTAAACAAATTATAAATAAGTTAATGAAGACTAATTTACTCGAATTGCTCAAACACAATCCTATTATATGGCGGCAAAAATACGGCAACAGCACCTCTACATGGTTGCATCATACCTTGTACACATACTTGAGGGCATGGCGCAGAGAAGATTGTGTATGTGCCACCCTCAATAGTGCAGTGGTCTTGCACATACCCATCAGTCATTCCTCCCAACCTAAAATTCACTCTTGTCCACCTTGCTTCGGGCGATTCATGTGATCGCACTATATACTTCAGTCCGTTTTTCTTCAGAAATGCGGACGACTGCTTTGACCCCCAAACAATACCGATCCCTCTAAATTCATTCTTTTTAAAGCCGTCTGAGAGTTCTGGGTCTGACCAGAGAAGTTGGTTGAATATTGAAATCTCGTTTTTGTCTTCGTCGACAAACCGATTGATGTTATTGATATCCTTGATATCGCCAATTTGGAGCAACTGATTTGTTGAAAAAATGCCAGCATGGACGCAGAACGCTGTTTTACCTATGACAGCCGCAAGTTGGAGGCTCTTAAACAGTTCTCCGCATAACGTTATAACATCCTCCGCACCTTCTTTGTATTTCTCTCGAATCTCATCTTTAAATCCGTACAAGTCGCACGTTGAGAGACTTTCGTGGTTCCCTCTCAAAAAATGAATATACTCTGGGCACACAATTTTCCAGAGACACATCACGAGAAGAATTTCAAGCCCATCGTTTCCTCTATCCACGTAATCTCCCAGTAAGATGTAGGTTGTCTTTTGGCATGGTGGTCCATGTTTGTTGAATATGGTCATCAAGTCGGAAAACTGGCCGTGCAAATCTCCAACAAGGATGAAGACTCTCCCGGACTTGGGGTCTGTCTGGATGACCTCTACGTTTGGGCGTGGTCTTAGGATTGCGATTGCGCGTTCAAAGACTCGCTTAAGAAACTGGAAATTTGTCGCCCTATATATTTCGTCATTCCGACAGATTGCCGAGATTATGTTTTGAGCAGATGACACCTCAAGATTATCCACTTCATCGAGTTCCATTCCTTTTTTCGAGTTTGTTTCGTTGTTTATTTTTTACATTTTTTTAAATAAATATTTTGTATATAAAAGCAATTGTTGTGGAATTTTCGGGTTATACTCACTCATTTTGTGTGGACTGTTTCCAATCTTTGGTAGAAGCCAAACACGAAGAATTACCAAACTACTAGTAATAATAATACTAAAATATAGTTTGAGTAGATACTGCGATTTACTATTAATAATGAAACAAATACTAAACATAAAACGCTTTGGTTCTTTTCCAAAACGAGAGAGTCTATAATCTGCAATAAAAAAAATTAGCCAATTGAAAAAGAGTACCATAACATTAGTACATATTATAAAAAAGAATGGTACAGTGAAAAGTAGGATAGTATTATAAAATAGATTGAATAAGAAGAGAAGAAAGACAACAAATTATCCAAAGAAGATATAAAGGAGTGAGCAAAGGATGATAACGACAACACAGAGGATGATGAGGACCATAATGATTTTATCAGTCGCCAATCTTTTAGCGATCCCGTTGAGTTCTTTATTTGCGATATCGAGTTGTGAGTCGATCTCATCGACGACACTGATACAATGGTCCAACTGTTCATTCTGTTGATCCAATTGAAGTGAGATAGTCCCACCCATAGTCTTTGCTTCATCCAATTGAGCTATAGCATTATCCAAATGCCCTTTATCCTCTTCTTGTAATTGTAGCCCCATATTAATGGCTTCGTCGGCATTCAAATCGTCGACATTGACTTCCTTCTTGTCATTTGAGAGTTGCGAAGTTAATTGTTTGGAAGCCAAGTTGAGGTCCGTCTCTAGCTGTTTGACATCATCTTTTAATTTCGACGACAACGTGGCATTGACTTTTTCTAACTTCCGCGTTTCAATTTTGAGAGTCGCTAAGATATTACGGGCATGCTCAAAACGACGCTTTGTCTGATTGTAACGGTTCACATGCTCATCCCCTTTGGTCTGTTTCATCTGATCAATCTCCGTCCGACCAACGGAAATGTCATTTTTTAATTCGGTGAGGTAGTCTTCAATTTCGCGATCGTAACTCATCTCACTTTTGAGTTTCTTTTTTTCCTCAAGCTTTACACCTTTTTTTTTGTTGAATTAATTAATTGAATTCTCCCGTTTTTGTATGAGAATTCGACTTATTGGTATTTCAATTACTCATCTAACTAGTCAGAAAAAATGGAAAGAATTAAACATAAATTAACTAGTATTTTTAGTTTGGATTACTATTATTTTATTATTTAATTATCGTGTGATGGACTTATCAATGTTCAAAGGCATTGATGAGAAGTTGTTTTGGTAGGAACAGATGGATTCTTATAGTTGTAGTTTTAATATCATTAGGTTGTAGTTTACTGTTCATCAATGGAATAATAATCAGATTATGTCCATCTTACTAAAATAAACTATTTTTGACACTTTTCCAAATGAAAAAAGTTTAAGAATAATAATAAATTAATACAAACTATAAACTTATTATAAAAAGTACATTTATTATCAATAATTGGTTTATCTATTTATTTAAAATAATAGAATTTTTAATGTTATAAAAATGTTTTTCACACCATATAACATTTTAATACCAAAAAAGGTGTTTTTCAATAATTATCAAGATTATTTTTTTTAAATGGAATATATAAATAAATTATTCAAAAAACTTAAATAAAGTTATTGTGTATAAATGAAACAAAGTGTTAGTTTTTTGAGTGAAAACAACAAGAAAAAGTTGTATAATAGTATCATTCCAACCTTTC